GCTGGCCGCAAGGGGGAGCACAAGACAAGCTTGTTCCAGTCAGATGACCGCTCAGATTGACCGGTGTCCCCGTTGTCGATGATTCTCTTCTTGCCTGAGGATTGCGCAATAACGCAGCGTGGAATGAGCCGAAATGGCTCCCCTCGCAGTTCCACGAAGGAGCTGAGCGTGGGTCAGTGGAGTGGAGCAGAAGCCCTGGGCGGCGTCATTCAAAGATTGCTCGAGCAAAACATCATCGTGTTTGCCTGGCTTGAGTGCAGCGATGGTCTTGTAGTTGTGGGTCTCCCAGTCATCAAGCACGTCCTCCATGGTGAGGAGGTGGGCCGGTTGCTCCGGAAAGACTCCGTAGGGCGGCGCTGTACCTACGGCTGGCAATTCAATCCCGCTACCAAGCCATAAGGGTATATGACATCCGCCCATGAGGTGAGGACCACCAAGAGAGCCGTCAGCCCGATATCCCGGGAGCAAGTAACCTTCTTGGATGACCGGCCTTGTTAGTAAACGGATAGGCCACTTGGCCTACTTAGCTAGCTATGCTAACTCAAGTTATAAGTCTGCTAACCTCAGTTATAAGCTTGCTAACTAGAGTTATAAGTTAGCTAACTGCACCAGCCTAGTTAGGGCATTTGATAACTACTTAGAAAAGACCATGATTACATACCAAGTGAGCTAAAATGGCCGGCCTACTTGGCTGACTTATAACTCTAGTTAGCAGACTTACAACTGAGGTTAGCAGACTTATAACTCAAGTTAGGAGACTTAGCCAAGTAGGCCAAGTGGTCTATCCATTTACTAACAAGGCCGGTCCTCCAAGTTCCGAATCGGGTGTCTGGAAGGTCGGTGCTCGCCCACTTTCTGCCAACGCTGCTTCAGCTCCTTCAAAATGCCCAGACTCTGTTCGCGAAGCCGCGGAAGTTCCCTGGGGCGTGATGCATAGAGCTCAGCAACGAACCAAAGGTCATCATTCAACAGAGGCTGCTGCTCAGTCGGCAGAGGTGCCTGGCTTCGGAGATACGCTCGCTGGAAGTGGGTGTCTGGGTCCAATCCAAAGCTCAGAAGCGGGGGCAAGGCTGCTTTGTGGCTCAAAGCTCCTGCCTGCTGCCCTTCGGCGTTGTCTCTGACGCAAGGCAACGCCGGCCAAATGGGGACCCAAGGGCCCGTCGGCCTTGAGGTCACGCTGGTCCTTTTAGCGGGGGAACTCGCAGAACGGCGCTTGGTTCAGCAGGTCCTCGACCATTGGGAACTTGAAGGCTTGGAACCAGTCCCCAAGGAAAGAGTCGACGAAAGCAAGTAACCACACTCTCCTGGGTGAAGGGGCCCACAGGGCCTGGGATGCTCGCTGCAACTCCCCTACTCAAAGCGACCCCCAAACGAAGAGCCCGAGATGAGGAAGAGTGTTCCGCTGACTCTGCCCGCCAGCTGCGGCAAGGTAGCGAGGTGCTTCGGGCGCCGTCGCATCGAAGACTAATCCGGCCAACTCTCCTGCACGCAGTCGCAAGCCAAGGTGCAACCCGCCAGCACTGGGAGCTCCGCAGCCTTGTACGACACGATGAACTCGACGTAGCAATTGGAGCCATTCATCGGCAGTGCAATCGTGCCCTGAATTGTAGGGAGAGCACCACTCAGAGAGGGGCAACCTGTGAGTGTGCCACGTAGATGCAGTTGGAAGGGAGCTTCCCGTCAACCAGCAACTCAGCTACTCTCTTCACTTGGGGAACCCTGGCACGCTCACGAGGATCAATGGGTCGAAGCCCCAACTGAATCGCCAAAGGAGTCATGGCCCAGCTCCGCGTAGAACGGGGATCATAGTACAGCCAATGCTCGCGCCGACCCACGGATTCGGTCGGTGGCATGCGAGGTACCCGGAGCTTAGCGTGCCCTGTCCGCACCGCCCACCAACTGGTAGAGACGGCGATGGCGAAGGCTAAGGGGGCCGTGTACTCTGCCTCTTCATGGCTGGGGAACACTCGCTGTTCATCCGAAGTGTAAGGCTTCCATTCATCTGGATCGCGCTGGTGGTGGCATTGCAGCGGCGGCCATTGAGAGATCTCCTGAATGTTATGTCGGAGGCGCTGCTCCCATGAAACAACAGGCGGCATAGCAGGTGTCCTTCCAGTCGCCGGAGCTCAACATCTGCTTTTCCCGGGGCAGTTCCCAACGTAGGCTCCGCGCCGGGTTCTCGTGGAGCGATGCGCCTCCTCGATCCGACAACTCCTGAATTTATTGGAGGACAAAGTCACAGGCCTGATTGTCCCTGGTCACCCGACGAAGGTCCCGCCCTCGAAGGTGTGGCAAACCTGGACCAGTGGGATGCTCATCTGACTGCAATGGCTTCGGAGCGGGCCGACCGTCCTCAAAACGGCGTGGAATCTCACGGGCTCTGGACTTGGTACTGCAATCAAGCGCCGCACAAACGCAATCAGCCTGCTGCAACATCTCATGGAGCTCGTGTTGAAAGTCGGGGTCGGCTAGATCGTGTTGAGGATTGATCAACCAGTCAATCGTAATGCATCGCCTGCCACAAAAAAGGAAAGCTCTGGTTAATGGTGCATTCGGACCTGACATCAAATCAGCCATGAGGGGTCCCCCCCCGGGAGCGGCGATTCCTCGTCAGACCCCGCGAAGAGGCTGCCGCGGCCTCTTCAAGGCCCCGTCAGGCCTTGGGGGTATTGCGGCAGGCTGCAGCACCATGATTCGGAGCGCCACAAACCCGCTCCTTCTTGGTGACATGGCCGCAACGGTGTTGTCCCAACTTGCACTTGCCCCCCTTACTCTTGCATGAGCCCTCCTGAAATGCTTGGCATAGAAGCGTACCATCACGGAGAACGCGAGCCACTTGCTTGCCTTGGAGGGGTTTTCCAAGAGGAGGCGTACTCTTCACTGGAGTCGAAAGGGTCGGTTCCACCGGCGTAGGAGGAAGCCAATGGGCGTCCCGCGCCGTGTATACCTCTTTGATAATGGCTCCCAACGAGTGTGAACTCTCGCGGAAACGGGCGGTCCATTCAGCAGCCCTCTCTTCAGAGTCCCGCGTCTGCAACCAGGCGAGCCGCTTCCCCGGTGGCGGCCTACGTAGATCGCTTGGCCCTGAAGTAGTACTGCATGGCCGCATGGCCACGTCGAGGGGTACCTGAGCATAGAGTGTACTGTCCGCCCCCAGGGTGAGCTCGTCCTTCGGATCGAAACCAGGGCCGGGCGTCGGCAAGGGTCCCACCCCCGCCATCGCGTAAGCCAACATGAGGGTCTGGAGCTTGTCAAGGTAGGCCTCGGTGTCGCGAGCGGAAGGTTCCTCTTCTTCAGCCTCCTCGGTACTTGGATGCACGTGGGTGGTTGTAAGTACATGGCAAACATGCATGTACTTAGTGGACTTAGCAACAGAGTTGCCATACTTAGCAGGTGCCAGTTAGAGCACATGCTAAGTCCTACTTAGCACACTTGCACAGTCCTGGCTAAGTGTACTTAGCTATACTTAGCTAAGCCTGCTAAGTGTACTTAGCTAAGTCTGCTAAGTCTGCCAGAATCTTGAGCCAGCGCCAAGAAAAACTAGTATTTGCTCTTGCTGCTGTTGTGTTTTTTTTCGCAGGACGGACATTTTTTAAACACACGCCGGACACAGTAAATTTCAAAAAAGCGGAAAACTGTATCGGTATATTTTTGGAGGAGAAGGATTTTAAAACCTTTAGGCGATGAGAAAAACAACAAATAGGGTGTGTGGATACAGTCATGATCCTCTAGACCACAAAACCTTTTGAAGGGCAACGGTTCCCATGAGCCAACCTATTGAGTAGCCATGTTTCTATCTAGGGTTTGTCTCTCCTATTACCGTGTAAGAGTGGGTATAATGAATACTCACTACTTCAGAGAAAGGTCGCAGGCTCAGCGTCCCTGCTCCTATAGTAGTAAGGCCAGGAGCCCTTAGCAGCTTTTGTTCCTAGTAGTATGGCCAGGAGCCCCTAGTAGCATTGTTGCTCCTACCTCTTTCCCACCGTCTCCGGCCCGCCCTGCTCCGTGCCCGAACTTCGTGGGCGGCAGCCTGCAAGCAGGCCGGGTGCCGGAAGCTCCGCCGTCGTGTGGTGGCGCTGGGGTGGGTGGGCTGTACCGGTACCTCGCCGAGCCCGACGACCTGGATATCCCAGGGGGCCCTACACGCGTGAAATACATACCCCTCTTATAGATAGTATTGGTAAATGAGATTTTCACGCGTTTAGGTATTCGAAGAGCAGCTACGGCTCGCTTCGACCCGAGGTGTCGAGGGGTGGCTCACTAAGCCTCACTTTGGGATGTCGAGGGATCCTGTGCGTGTGAAAAAATATTTCCCCTTCATATAGATAGTAAGGGTAAGCTGGATTTTCACACGCGCAGGCTCTCTTCTAGAGATTGGGTGCCCCAGTGTCCTTTAGTTGAGGCTCAGTTCTGTCTGTATAGTCTGGTGTAGGACTAGGCGATCTGGGTATCGTATACTATACACCGATCTTATACGATAGGGACACGTATAGGTCTGGTCCTATATAGGGTCGACACCTGTGATCATACGGATCCGTTCTGTTCGATAGGTTTGTCGGAGTTTATCGGGTCTGTTACTGTAGGGCTGATGGCGAAAATCCTGCGTTTCTTAAGAGTATGTCCCACTATGTTTATAATTTATGGTTTCAAGAAACACAGGATTTTCTCCATCAGGGGGGGGGAACGTGACGCCAATGCCACTTGCATGAACACATGCTTGGAGCATGGCAGGGCCTAAGATGGCTCGCCGCCCCTCGTCTTCGAGGGCGTGAATTGGGATTGGATGGAGCCCCTGAACACATTACCTGCTATCAACAGGTTTGAGATGTCCAAATCACATTTCCAAAAATATCTTTACCAGGAAGAAGCAGGGCCAATTGGCTCGCGAGCAGGGCTGAAAGCTCGTTTTCCATCATGGCGCAACAAGCGCAGATCCATCAGGGTCCTTCCTGTGCACCAGGCAGGCTTGGATGGACTCTGTTTCAACAAACTCAGGTTCATCACACACCTGGAACCGATTGTTCCCCAGAGCGCTCCAGGGGGACCAAAGGGCGAAGAACTGGGACTGGGTACTGCCCAGACTCAGTCTGAACAAGCACGACGTCTTTTGCCGAGCAAGAAAGACCGGGTCTTACAAAGACTTGGTTCGACATCTCCACTGCCAGAGGTAACATGGGGTTGAGGTTGAAAGCAGTCTTTACGTATTGCGCGGTCTCTTTGGTCGCAACAGAGGGATTGTCCATGTGGACGCCATGAAACTGCTTCAAATCCTTCAAGGAATTGACTTGTCGCAGGCAAACCTGCAAGAGGTGTTTCTCGCAGGAATCACTTCTGTTTGCATTAGCGAAGTCATTACCAAAGCGTTTGAGTTCTTTGTGCTTTCGTTCATGAACGAAGCAATTCATGAGGGGTTGCCTCTCCATGAAGTCGGGCAAATGTGCACAGTAGTGGCACTTTGGTTGGAATCCTGCCTCACCATACGCCTTCAGGCGCAATGCCATGTGGGTATGTATGGACTGTCTCAGGTCACTTGGGGTGACAGTGCCTGTGATCAAGCGCTTCAAATGGTCGAGCACTTGTGCCAATGCAAAAAAAGAATTCTTGGCGATGTCGATTTCCGGAGAGAGTCCATCAGGAACTTCATGTACCAACATGCACCGGATGAGAGGATAGACCGACAGGCCTTCGGATGCGCTGGACTTAACGTCCTGGTCGACTTTGGAAAACATTTTCTGTCCAGTGACAGCTCTGGAAGACAAAGACTTGGGAAAACAGAAGTTCCCCAAAAAACGGTGAATGTCCTGTGCACTTACCACACCCTTCAACGCACCCAGTAGGTGTGTGCATTCTGTCTGGAATATACCGCCGACCAAATAAATGTGCATCCAATCCATTTGGGTGGATGAGATAGGGCCGTTGATCAAATGGCGCAAGAAATCGTTGGACAGCAATGGTCCTTCAGGACAATGGTTCAAGCCCACGGCCTGCTCGTTCCGTGTGAAAGTTGCCTTGTTGACAGTCCCAACAGTTCTCTGCAAATAACGAGCGGCCTCCATTACGCTGGCATCTGTGTGCTGTACAAAGCGTGTCGTGTCAGTGCATGTATGGGGTACTAAAAAATTTGTGGCATCGTTCTTGGCGAGGTCGGACGAATGCAGTGCCACGTTTTGACAGAAGAAACATGGCATATTGCCACTGGCTCCCTTCGATCCCCAGATCGATTTCAGCGCTGGCTCGTCAGCAATCACTAGTCCAAGCTTGGCAAAAAAAAACATCCGGTCGCCGTGGCCCCTCAAATGCACCATTGTGCCTAGCGCCAAGTTGAACGGAGAGGTGAAAAAAAGTGCAGTGGCCTTTTTGAAGTATTGGGCCCAGCCAAACTTCACGCTTGCCATGCGGTTGCTGCGCAGGCAGCCGACATGGAACCACAGCGCCTCTTGGGCACACCCCGCATCGAATTGCACCAGGCTCCAATAAAACGCAATGAATTTGCGATCGTTCCGGGGTTTCAACGCGTTGCCTGGAAGGACTTCAGTCCATGGGGCCGCGTCGCTGCAGGGGTGTTTAGACAACTGTCCCTCGAAATAGTCAGCAAAAGAAGGAATTTCCTCCAACATGAATTTGAGCAACTGCACGGGGTCTATGACTGGGAAGCACTTCAAAGTCCCATCATCGAGTTCCAGCTCTATGTTCGTCCAGAGTGATTCCGGTAGTGCTCTCTCACGGGCTCTCTTCACCGCGGTTCTGCTAAGTGCGTCGGGAAGTCCGTTGTCTCTGACGCTCTTGAGGACGGCGCTTAGGCCGCTTTGGGACACATAGCTCGTGGTGTTGGGCGCTGTCAGCACCTGGTTGGCATTTTCAAAAGGCGAGCCTGCAGCCCTGCCTCGCGAGCCAGAGGAAGCCCGACCCTGCTTACTCATTGTGTGAGTATGGGAGTGAGGGAAGGAAGAACAAAGAAGTTGTTGGTTTTCAAAGTTTGCACGGTTGAAAACACACCATGGAACATGTAGCATGGTCCGTACATTTGCGCTGACAAAACACATCCTTCCGTCCAAAAAGGCTGCGTTGTTGATCACCATCGTGAAAGCAGGATTCTATAACTTTGTCACCGACCCACTTGCAAACTCCAGGCGATATATCTTGCCCAGACGGGCACGCCTGAACGTGCAATGGTCTGGCCTGAGCGCGTCGATGAAAGTTGTTTCGTTTCAAAACATAACAAGCGTGCAAGACCGACATCGAACTCAACTAGCCCTATAGTTTACAGTGACATCGAACTCCACTAGCAGCCCTATATAGTTTGCAGTGACATCGAACTCAACTAGTGGCCCTCGTTTACAGGCAAAAAAGAAAACATGACTTCAAGACAGGACATCTCAGGATCTTTCTTCCCATCGCAACGCCCCACAAATCACTCCCCTACGATCCAGAAGCTAACCCAAATGGGCAGCTTTCTCCTCGCAAAACCCCTTGCAGTCGGCAAGCTGCAGTGTGCCCTGTGTCATGGAGTCGATTGCCTCGTTGGCAATGCGGTACAGGGCTTCTTTGGACTGTCCGTGACAGCCGAACTGGCACAACTGTTTTCCGCCCTTGATGCGGATGGCTGCCTTGTTCGTCTCTTTGTAGAACATCGGTGTACTCAGTGCACCCCTGCGTCTTCTGCACCATGGCCTTTGCGGCTGCCTTGGCCTTGCCTTTTGGTTGAGGCTTGGCCTTGGCGGCCTTGGCCTTGCTCTTGGCCTTGGCTTTCGCCTTGGGAGCTGCAACCGTCTCATTGGCCTTTTCTTCAGCCCGTTCTTCTTTTCGGTTCTCAATAGCAGCCATCACAATGTCGGGCATGTTCAAAGCAGCAATTGGCTTTGGGGCAGTCTCATGCGGTTGGCCATTCTCAATGGCAGGCACTGTGTTGGGAAGAGCAGCAGGTGCAGGCTGAGGAACAGCGTTCTGAGGTGAAGCCTGGCGTGACACATCCGCCCTTTCAGGCTGCTCTGGAGTATCCTGACTCTCACCGTTCTCATCAGTCTTCGCTTTCTGACATGCCTCATGGCCTGGCGCTGGCAATGCCAGAGGGCGCTTCCGGCCAGCAGGCTTCAAGAGCTGCACCGATGGTTGCCTTTGCTGCTGCTGGGCATTGAGCAGCTCCTGCATCCACATCATCAACTGGTGTTGAGGACCCTGCAGTCCTGAGGAAGCGGACGGTGACACCTGCGTCTCTTTTACAACCGCTTTGTTGGTCCTCCTCATTGGGACCTGCTCGCGGATGATGGGCAGAGCGAAGGCCACAGGCGGGTCAGCCTCGTCGTAGGCCTCCTTCTGAAGCCATTCAGGCAGCCCTGCCGGCGTCGGCGGGAACGTCGCGAGGTGTTCTCGCTTTCTCGGTGTGTTCTTGAGGGTGGCCCGCAGCAACCGCTTCAACTCATGGACCACTGCCAACCGGTCCTTCGCGGAGCCGTCGCCCATCTCAAGCCCCATTGCACTGGCTTGACTCAGGATGACACCGATGGTGCGCTCTGATGGCAAATGGATGCCAACCAGCACCATCCGGGTCACCAGTGCATTCAGCTTCACCGTGAGGTTGCCATCACCTTGGAGGATGGCATGGTCGGCCTTTGTGAGGTAGGCCGAAAAGTCATCCACAGTCTGGCTGGATCGCCGGCCACGGGATCCTGATCCATGTCGGAGAACCGCACTGTTTACTCCTTGTATGAGCAACTCTAGTTGCTCTGGTGTCCACGGACCCCTCTTAATGGTCGCAATCCACGATATTGCTAGGCCTGGTTCCAGGCTCATTTGGGACAGGCGCCTGATCCAGAGCGTGCACTGTTGTTGAGTGCAGTCTGCATGGCTGCTTGTGGAAGCCAAATACTTTTGAGTGGCTTCAAGCTCCTCCATGTTCCCTACTACAGTAGATCTTGAGTAGATCTTGACCCCTTACAAAGAAACGACGCAAGGGATCAGAAGAGTTCCAAGGTTCCAGTCTCTTTCTCACTTCAATCACCTTTGACTGAAACTGTCGACCAACACAGCAACAAACACTTCAATTGAAAGAAAGAATTCCAAGCATGTCTGCTCGACGCACAAGTCTCGAAACGTTGACTGGCTTGCAAACAGAATGCAAAAAGAAAGCAAAGGCAACTCAGCAACAAGATGAAAGAGCTAGAGAAAACATGAGAAAACACGTTTGTCTGCGTTGTTCCAGAAGGAACAACTGCAGGCGAGCCGAAGCCCTGCTCAACAGCGAGTTTGTCTTTCGTTTGTGTTTCACTTCCGCTTTTCACTTGCGCAAACGGTTTGTTCAAAAACACTCACAGTCTTGACAAAGTCAATCCTGGACACTCAGTACACTCAGTCAGCTACGAACCGCACTCGCTTGTTGGGGCCGAACCCGTAGCTGTTCTTAAACTGTTGGAGTCTTGAATACTCACCTGTGTTGGACAGGTTCTCATTCAGCATGCGGGTCAAATCTGTCACCATGAGACGGCCCTCGTGCTCAGCCGGCGCAATCACAACTCCGAGCTGATTGCCGGAGGCAGCAAAGAAAACCTGGGCAAGCCACTTGGTCCTGTCATCATTCGGAATCATTCTCCATGAGATCATAATCGGGGTGGTAGGAACCGAGCGGAGCAAGATGTTTTTGAAACGTCCAGTAGTCTCCCGGTACTCGATGAGGTCTGGGTCCCATGGACAACCCTCCAACCGATGGTCGCGCACCCATACATACTTGTGCGAACTTGCGATTGAACCACTGCAGTTGATGTAGATGGGGTTTCGTGCAATCACGTGGGGGATTGAGAGCGCATAGAGGTTCTTCCACTTCTCACCACGGGGGAGCCGCCACTTGGCACCAGTGATGTACTCTACATCCTCATCGACCCACGCCAGCTCCCACATCCGTGGTGTCCTGTCCATGTCTGGTGTGGGTGACCCCATCTGACTCACTTCACTGTATGAAGCGTGAACGAATGATCAGAGTCTCAACTATATAAGCCACAAATGCTCAAAGTCTCACATCCGTTTTTAAAACGTCGAGTGCAGTGCACTCGAGAGTTACGGCAATCTCTGAACTATAGCTAGTTTCCTCGCACATCTGTGTTGAAAACGCTAGTGGTGTCTTCCCAAAGGGAACAAGTTTCGACGAACCGGTAGCGCGCACATAGCGTGAGTTTTCTAACCCAAATTTGATCTAGACTCTAGAGACACGTTCCACAGGAAGAGGACTGCATTGTTTCGCTCTTATACATGCACATCACCGTGGTGCCCCATTTGCAAAGTCTCGTGAATGGATGCTTCCATAACTCTTGAGACCCCTAATGTCGAATGACTCTTGCCACAAAAGAAACTTCCCGCCCTAGGTCTCTCCCTATCCCTCACGAACCTCATTAACCTTCAATGCCTCAACAGTCAAGCTCTTGGGTTGGAGGCCATCACTACTAGGATGGAGGCCCTTTTACACTAGAGGCAATCGCTACTAGGGTGAGATGGCCTTAGGGTGGAGGCCATAGCTACTAGGGTGAAGGCCAGTTGGAGGCCATCGCTATGCCTTGTGTCCACACCGTCAATCAATTGAAAGAAGAACTGTCTGAATAAAGAAACATGGAACCCACGCGCCATTGACCTCACCCACCCACTAATGCAGCGTCTGAAAACAAATCTTTTCACTTCCACATTTCTCATGGTTGCAGCTTGTCGGGTCCAAGCTGATCGCAGCAGCGCCCGTCTCTGGCACCGTGACGGCCCTCCCAGTCAGCACTAGGACTCAGGATGTTTGTTTGTTGATCCACATTATTTGTAGCGAATTGGCAATCAACATAATATAGATCTATATTATTTTTGTTGCACTTCTACCTAAAATAATATAGATCTATATTATTGTGGTTGTACACCAACAAAAAATAATATAGATCCATACTATTTTGGTTGTACACCAACAAAATTAGTATAGATCTATACTATTTTGGTTGTACACCAACAAAATTAGTATAGATCTATACTATTTTGGTTGTACACCAACAAAATTAGTATAGATCTATATTATTTTGGTTGTACATCAACAAAAATAGTATAGATCTATATTATTTTGGTTGTAACTCAACAAAAAATAATATAGATCTATATTATTGCGGTTACCTCTCCATACAATGATATATTTATGTTTTGTTACTTTGGTCGGACACCAACCAGCAAACATCGTATAGGGCTATATATTTTTTGACTGCATCACTAACTAGAGCTGGTTTAGGTTTTGCGTCAACTCTCAAGCCTAGTAGGCTGATTAGGACTCTACGTACCTTGGCCGGAGTTCTCCGGGTCAAGACCCTCGCATGCTATCAGACATGGTGTAACAGTGCAATCTGCACACCCCTATCGAGAAGACACCTGTTTGGTCTTCTGATGGACCGTCAGTCGAGGTCAAGGCCCAATAACATGAACTCTCACAACACAACAACCAGGAAGCATTTGAATCAAGGTCCATGAACATCCATGAACAATGTCAGATACTCGCCAACAGGGCCACCCTCCAAAATCAACTAAAACAACGGTCCATTGGAATCATCACCACGCGAAGTAAACACAGTCAAACAAAACTGCTGTGTTGAGTTACTTTGAAGAAATTCTTGATGGACATTAGTTACACCAGACAGAACCTAGGTGACGTTTCCAAAACAGATCCAGCACAGATTCCACGAACATCACAGCGACGCGCAACAAGCTTCAATGGGAGGGGGACCTGGCGTACGAAACTTCCCTACATCACTTCAAGGAGTTGCATCGCTGCTTCCAGGTCTATTCCCGGATCATAGTGCCAGAGGATTCACTTTCCCACAAATGGCAATTGATCTTGTCTTCACATTCTTCCATTCCACCCTCTGACATTCGATTCCCTGTTCAGCGCTGTGCGGTTGGGAGGTGACAATCATAGAATGAAGAGTGAACCTGATGGTGTTTTCCTTTAAAGTATCAAAAGTATAGTTGATTGACCAACACACCAAATGTTCTTGAACACTAGTTCTCACTCTCCCCATCCACGCCCTGTGGCGTGCCCCCGCATTGCAACCGAAAGGTTCACTGCGACCTGCTGCAGGCGCTGTTCGCACCATCGCCACGGGAGCGAGATCGGACCCTGCCAGAGCCGTACCTTGGGCGGCCGTAGAGAAACGTCGTCACGACCTCACCAAATGAACCACACCACAACTCACCTTGATTGGTGTTTCCTGGGTAAGAATGTAAATATATAACACATCGAATCAAATGTGCTTAAGTTCAGTCCAATGATCTGATTCAACCAACCAGACGAATCGATGAAGCCTCCCTGAACGTATAAACCTCCGCGGCCGTCTCCTTTGTAAATCCTGCGATTAAACCTTCTGGCGGAGTCGAGGGCGGCCTGCGATCCTTTCTTGCCTTTCCCGTAGTTGGATCCCTTCCTCGAACGACCCTTCCCTTGCGATGCGATGCCACTGCCCGTCCCCCCTTCCGAAGCTGGTGGAGGCAACGGCGGTGGGGGGAGCGGAGGTAGGTTCCGAAACCGAGCAAGGTAAGCTGGAGGTGGACCTGGAGGTTCAGCTGGTCGTGTTGGACGTGGCTGTGGTGCGTCATCCTCATATGGAATTTCTGATTCGGTTTCCTCGTGGTGGCCAGTCCAATCCTCCCAACCCGTCCACTCTTCATTAGCATCGTCCTCTTCCTCTTTCGTTTCAATGAACACTTCCTCCTCCTCGGCGTCTTCGGGCTGCACCCTCTGCCGAAGAAGGCCGGCCAGGTTCTCATCCGACAGGTCGTCAAAGACCTTTGCAATCGATCGCTTCAGGCGAAACAAACTGTACCGTCTTTGCATGTCAAGACCACAAAACTGCCACGCTGACAAATCTCCACGCATGGAACATGATGCTAACCCTTGATGGCAAATTCAAAAGGTCTTTGCTGATGACAGTATCTACTTTGTCAAACCATGCTTGTGGGTCAAACCATGCTTGTGGGCCAAGGGTCCGCGTGTGTCTCTGTCTCTGCCGCACCAGGGCCAGCCTCTGCCATGCCGGTTTGCGCTGCAGACGCGATGTCCGCTTCACTTGCCCTTCAATCTGCACAAAAAAGATCAAAAAAGCTGTGAGCCAGCGGTCGAATGCAGAATGATTCCTGTGGCTATGACTCAATTTTTGACCATCTGGGTAACATGAACTAAACCGTGTGGTAACGTGAACCAAACCCTATGTTTCTGGATTGCATTCAGGTGGGCGTCAAGGATTGAGTCATAGCCAACTGATTGCACTTTGCCACACTGTGATGGGTTCCACGAAGCCTCAACTTCTCTCAAGTATGTTTTTGAAGTTGCAACTCAAGTTGTTTATGTAGCTGCCTGCACTCTACTTGGCCTGGTTTCTGAAGGTTATACACCCAAGAGGATTGCAAAAAGATTGAGCAAATTACTTTGAGGATCAGTTGTCGAAAAGTTCATTGGCATGATGGGTCCCAGAGCAGGGCACGAGAAGAAGGGCTCTCCAGAGCAGGGCACGAGAAGGGCAGGGCCCCTAGGGCGAGAAGGCTCGCCTATCCCAAATAGATCAGAATAGGCGCGGGTGTTCAAAGCAGGGCCACAGAGCTCGCGGGCAGGGTCAGAAGGCTCGCTTCTATAACTCCATGTCTAAAAGAACAACAGTACAAGTTCAAAAGCACTTGGATTCAAAGTCTGCGCGAGGCAACAAGACAACCTTTCAGCGGAACCCTGCAGTGGCACCAGCACCCAAAAGTTCCACGCCTCTTCCTATACTTGAAGATCTTGAAGGCAAGGTCAACTGTGGTTAACAGACTCGCACACAACACTGTTCCAATCACACAAGCTCAGTGACAGGTTGGAGCCAACCTTTTCATTTTAGCTTCGAGTCCAAAACCGTGAGATCCAATGCAACGCTAAGCTAGCAAATGCAAAGAACACTGCAGCAATTGCAAACAATCCACTAGACTATAGCCTTCACGGCTTCAGCTTCTTCGGAGAAGCCTTCATGGGTGAACCTTTCGACGAAGACTTCATGGGTGACATCTTAGCCTTGGGCTTTCTGCCCCTCTTTTTTGGCGACCCCTTTGCCTTTGGGGCTCGGCTGCGTCCGAGTTCTCCGGTCTCCAGGCCCAGCATCACTGCGTGCTTGATATAGAGCAAGTTCACCTCGATGGCCTCAATGTAGAAGGATGCCCCTGTGACTGCCCAGAGGATCTTTGGGAAAAGGGGTCCGTAGAGCTTGCCTTCGTGCTCGAACTCAGGAAGGTCCACGCTGACAAACGGGGTGTTCAGAAGATCTCCGTCTTCTGGCCGCACTTTCCTCTTAAGCTTCTGCCCCTGGTCCCCGTCGGCATCTTTCGCTAGCAAAGCAAGTTCTTGTTCAATTGCCTGCTTAGAGGCACTGTTCCGCTTGGTCACGATGTCATCCAACACTTTTGCGTTTGCCCCTGAGCTTCGACAATCTCGAAGGTCCAACGACCTCCCTGTTGCAAAGCGAACAAAGTTGCGGTCCCACTTGCTGATCTTGATATAGTGCAATCCATTCTTGGTGATGATGTCAGGCTCAGTCCACTTCCACTTCTTGTCATTGGTGATGACGAACCACATCGAAGTGAGGATGGCCAACTCTCCCGGGCACGCCTCTGTGGATGACTGTTCATCCTTCTCCATCCATGCGTTTGCTGGTGCTATCTCAAAGTTCACTGATTTGAGCCTCTTGAGCCGTTAGAAAGCTACACAACGCGGGCTTGAAGGGCACCCTGCGCGCGAGCACTATGTGCCCTGCCAGCAGTACAAGAACAGCTCAAAGAACATGTTTCTTTCCATGACACTTCTGCAATGTTTTTGCTTAAAGACAGACTATCATCAAACTTTCAATCCAGTGAAAACTTTTAGCGAGTGATAACTGTTTCACAGTGGTATCCATGCACCAACAGTGTTGACTGCTTCACAGCCAGCTGTCTTCTCAATGCGCATTGGGCCACCGGACGCATCAATGGCACCATCCTCACCGCCTGCAAAAAGAAGTTACTTCACAAACTCTACAAACAACAGGTTCTGTGTCCATCGAGACAGCCCACAACATGAAGAGGCACAGGCCATACAATGCTTTACAACACGTGAGTTTCTCTTTCCTGAAAACACTATCGATGGGGAACTTGATTTTTTCTGACTCCAATCGTTTTCCGTTCACGGAGAAGCTCCGAGTCCATCCTGCCGACTTAAAAGGGAAAAAAGGTGGCACCGTTCGGTGGCAACACATCTGTTCAATGACAGAGCCTCACACTATCTAGCTACCTTTGGTTCTGCGCCTCTTGGATGCCAGTGGGACAAGCTCTTCTGTCTCAACTGGTGGCTTGGCAACATACCGCATCAAAACCGTGCCCTCTGGGATCGCATGGGGGTTGACAAGAACTGGGATTGACATTTTGCTGTTCTTGTCAGTTGGATCGATCACTGTGCTCAACTCGACATTTGCCTCATCTGACTTGTGTGTTTGACGCACCAGCCAAAACGGCGAGACAAAGCCTGTCTTGCCATCGGTGGGCAACGCGAACATGGGGCCCAAGCAAAAGCTCATGTCTGTCCCGACACGCCCGACAGAGACGTACCCTGCAGGAGGGTCTTCCCTTACCTCCACCTTCAGTGTTGTTGGTACCAGCACAAGCTTCTTAGGGGCGAAAGACTTGGTCGTGACAATGTTCTTTGAAGGCTTCAGCATGACCTTGAGGCCATCGTAGACGGAAATGCGACTGCCCTCGAGGAAGGTCAGCTTCTCAACAAGGACTCCAACTGTCACCTTCACCAATCCCTCATGACAGTGCTGCGCCGTGTGGTTCTGGAAGCCTTCCAACTCCTGTGTCTCAGCCGGTGGCTTGGCTGCGCGCCACTCACCTTTGAGAAATGCGTCAAGATTTACCTGAGCCAACCCTGTGAGTGGTCCGCTCTCGATGTGCAAGACAACCATGTTCTCTTTGACATCCCTGATTTGCCCAAAAGCCTTATCCTTCTTTCGTTGAACCCAACACTCAAGTCCAAACCCACGCTCTTCCAACAAGGACAAATGGCTGGCAATCCGACCATCTTCATGGTGCTCTCGTTTCCTTGGATGGATCAATTGAACTCAACAGATCATCGCCCCGTCAACATACATATATACAAACATTTATTGACATATGTATACGTGGAATTTATCAGCACTAAAGGTTGTTTTGGCTCAAACTAAGAAACACTGCCTTTGGAGCAATCTTTCCACCTTTCCTGGCGGAGCTCTCTTCCCGCTTGGCAGGCCTAAACGAATCCCACTTGGTAGAAATCCTTGCTGCGCCAAGTTCTTGCAAGGCATCACAAAAGCAACATGCCGCCTGTTCGACAGTGTCCCTGGTTGGTACATCTTTGTGGGTTTTCTGCAAGGTGATCAAAACAACTTCTGTTTCAAAAGCTGTCAGAGCTCTGGAGAAATCACCCTTCGGGTCACCCAGTGGCTCAACTAGCTTACGCACTTCGAAAATGAGGTTGTTTGATGCCGACATCTGCACTTTCAGGTCCTTACTGTGCAGCTTGCGTGCGTCTGCTGGGGAGAGCAATTTCTCCGGGCCGGTGTACGCAGCCAGCAACATGGCGTGCCGGAGATGAAGGTACTGATCGCCTGTCGGAGGTCTCGGGTCCTGGGTCAACACTTCAAAGAAGTCAGGGCCCAGCTGCCTTGTTGGAGCGGCCATAGCTTTCACCCTTGCCAAAGTATCGTCGATCAATCCGCCTCCGCTGAATTTCAGCACGAACCTAAACATGCCAGGCATGGCAGCCGCACAGGCTGGCTTCGACTTCATCAACTGTGGCTGCAATGTCGCCCATTCCAAGGCTCTTCCGGCCTTCCTTTGCTGTCCAACAAGGCTACTTGTGGTTTACCTATCCAACAGACTTTATCAACAATATTTCAAAACAAAATGTTTCCATAAAGGGCCATCAAGGTTCTGGGCCTGGTTGACCCCATTTAAGATGCGCTGCAGGATCTGCAGCTCGTGCTCTCCACGGGCGAGCTGGCCGGACGTGTTGAGGGCTGCTTGCACCAGCAATGCCATGGACGGAAATGCGGTCACGGCTTCATGCGCAATGACTCGCCAACGGAGCCCCGTCCGGCAAACCTCCCCGAAGATGGGGTCTCGGGTGGCGATTCTCTGCATGGACATCTTTCCGTCCTGAGTGAGATTGTCGCACCGCGACATGCAACCATTCATTCCTGATAGCCCTCAACCCAGCATTGGTATGAGATCCAGACAAGGATAGGAATTTCAAATTGTGTTTCTGGATTGCTGGGAGCATTGAGCCCGACAAAGCCGCAAGCCTGCAGTTGAAGTCGAATGCATGCTCTGCCTCTGCAGGAGGCACTTCACACGCAACTGGCGCGCACTGCTCCGATGCCCAGCCTATCTCCAGAATGTGGCTCATCAGGTCATGGGCGTCTTGAACGCTAATGCCGAAACCGTCCCGGTTCATATGATGAACGCCGACGTAGTCGGGTTCAATCACCACTTCATGGAGGAGTCCGTGCTTCTTGAGAACCGCAAAGATCCCGTTCACTCCTGACACCAAAGCGCCATCTTCAACTTTGGCAATTGCAGCCCCCAGTTCTGTCTTGGCAGCTGCCTCCATGCCCACGGCAAACCTAACCTAACAACCTTCAGCGAGCTTCAGCCCTGCTGGCGGGCGAAGAACACCCTGCTGAAAGAACGAACGAACGATACGACCTCACCCTCCCCCGGGGGCCCCCCACCCTTAAAGTTACAGCCCTTATATGTTTTTTGCAGGGTTTCTGCTTCCCTTGGTGGAAATACCCCTCAACCACCACCTGTCCCAACCGGAGACCATACAAACCTCAGTGAAAAAACTCTTCACAACCTTTCTTCAAAACAACATTGAAATAGGATGCCCCCAAAAACCTTCCAGAGGTATCTGGGGACATCCTGTTTCCTCATACTTCGACCCAACCATATATTGAAATAGGCGGTCCCCAAAGACCTTCCATAGGTCTTTGGGGACATCCTGTTTCAATATATTCTTCGAACTCGGACCTCTCGACTGCCGGCCCCTCTCCCCTCCACTTCCCGGTCCCTTGCCTGTGCGTGCACAGGCTGCCGCCCAGCCGTTGCAGGCGCTGGCCTGCACGCCTTTTTTTGAGGGGAGGGGGGAGGGGGGAGGGGGTGGACCCGAACATCCCCAACAAAAAGATGTCGCCATCATTGGTGACGCCCCAATTCCACGAGCTTTCGGGTCCACCCCCGTCCCCCCAATTTACGGGTTAGTAAAAGGACTGACCTTTCACGAAATCGATAAATCGGTCGACGAAATCGAGTTAACGAGTCAAAGTTCGACGAAACTGTGGGTTTACACGTTCGTTTTTTTGTTAAGGTTTGCGGTGTGTGTGTGATACCGTATTATACTATATACATATGTTTTGAAAGGGCACGCGTCCATAAAAAAACGAATGGCCGCTCCTGTTATTACTGAAGCTTCCATTCGGCTATATTTTTATACTTTTACAAGTTTTCCACTGAGCAGACTTAGCAGACTTAGCTAAGTACACTTAGCAGACTTCGCGCCAGTTAGCTAAGTACGAATTATGTACTTAGCTCAGGTAGCTTTAACCATGTGCTATGTTCGCTAAGTGTTCGCTATGTAGACAGCGAACATACATACAGTTAGGGTGAACATATATGTTGCCAGCAACTCTGCCATCTCCAGTCGCAGAGTTAGCATACTTGGAAGGCTGCTAAGTATATGTTAGCGAAGTTATAAGTATGACTTGGCAGACATACTAAGTATGCCATGTTTGCCAAGTACATACAACACACCACGTGCATCCAAGTAAACAGGTTGTCGCCAAGTTTACGCTTCTTCTGAGTAGTCATCAATTGGAACTGCAAGGACTTAACCTTCCATATGGAGAAGACGCAGAGCATCCGCTTGCTCATCTCCCGACTCACTCGCGAGAGGGTAGAGTGCGCCGGATGCACTTTTGGAGGGAACCTCTGATGGCACCGCCGCCAGAAGCTGACCTTGGTATCACGTAACTCGGTCTCTCCGAGCGTGGAATCAAGGTCATCGGAGGCAACAAGGAGGGAGGTCAAGGAGACCAAGGACCTCTAAGGAAGAAGATGATGAAGATGAAGACTGGATTGATCGCAGAACCTGTCAGGAATGAAGCTCCCGATTCCTTGGGCCGGTCTTGCTCCATCTGCCGGAAGAAGAGGGCGATGGCATGCCATGCCCGCCTCAAGCGGGAGACTTGAAGCATCTTGCCATCCCCCAGCGACAGCTTGGAGAGCCATGGCTCAACCGCTCCTCACTGTCAAAGAAAAATCGAAACTCTTCAAAATTGGAAATACCTGTCTTAATCAATGCTTCCACTACGACTGGATCGAGGCTGAAGTTCGTCCCTAGTGCCTTCAGAGAGTCCTCAATCCTTGAGGACTCCCTCGGCACCAGACTCAAAGAACTCGCCACGCCGTCCCTGGGATCCCTTCCCACGCGCCTAAGCCAAAGCTGCACACTCGGAGGAGTCCCTCTCCTCCTGCACAATGACCGAGGCCGTGACGAGACCGGAGACGGGGGGGGAGAAGGAGGAAGGACGGACCGAACGGCGCACTGCTGGACATGCATCCTGCGCTTGGTCAACTCTCCCGACCTCACATGCCTACCCACCTGGGTATGCCTCGCCCCCCCCACTGCGCACGGTTTTCTCTGTTCGCTTGGTCAAGCTCGCCACGGGCAACGGATCACTCCACGGCCAAAAGGGGGCTAGCTGCTCTTATGCGTCGCTGTGCGACAGGATGAAAACAGGTGCCACGACTTCCTAAGGGATCCAGGAAGCCGGTGCCCGATTGGCACAAACCTGGCATCTAGGCCTGCCCCAGGCAATCGCTTCCATCTTCGAGGCGCACTTGGTCGGCTGCACCAAGCGTCCCTTGCTCTTCTGGACCCCTTGGCGGAGGGCGCAAAGGGGGGTGTCCACGTAGCCCTGGATGTGGTAGCCGGTTGGCCGGGGCCAGGCATTGCCCAGACTGGTAGTGCGAAGGGTTTCATGGATCCAGCCGGCCAGCGCCCTGTCACGCAGGAGGCCTTGGATGTCGACATCCCTCACGCTGGCCAAGTAGTCCCAAGCCGCTTCAAAGCGCTCACGAAGCAGGATGGCTCGAAACATGCACGCGGTTCCCGCTGCGCGATGACGGCCACTGATACAGTGGAGGAGCACATCCTCACCTCCCCACAACGTATTGCACAGAAGCGGAAACAGGTCACGCCATTGCTCGTCTCGCCTATCAGGGTGGGCGATGGCAAACTTGCGTTTAGGGTCGCTCCCTGCAAGCAAACGCCACCCCGCTGCGAAGGCTCCTCAAGCATACATGCCACTTGCCAGCAGGCTCCGAGTCCCAAGTTACACAGGCATCGTAAGTTAGTAAGGAGGATGCCTTACTAACTCGAGAGTCTCTAAAAACTCGCTCTAGCATGCTCTAGCGCCTTAAAAACTCGAAGTTTCCCGCCCACCACGCTCATGTTTCCCGCCCACCATGCTCATGGAAGGGTCTGCTCTGCCTGCGTGATGGTTTTGCTGGAGCGCGGTGTGGGCCATTGAACGTTAGACTGCCAGCTATGAGAGCGACTGCGCAACTTTACAAGTCACGCCTGCTCAAATCCTATAGTTTATGTGTTGGACATTGAAATTTCCGCCCATCGCCTGCTCAAATCCTATAGTTTATGTGTTGGACATTGAGATTTCCGCCCATCGCCTGCTCAAATCCTATAGTTTATGTGTTGGACATTGAAATTTCCGCCCATCGCCTGCTCAAATCCTATAGTTTATGTGTTGGATATTGAAAGTTCCGCCCATTGTCTAAAGTTTATATATTCCTCAGTCTATTTTGGTGCTGTGTTGACAATATTGTACAGCTTTCCTTTACATTCATATACATTCATATAGCGCAGAGTGTTGACACATGAAACAACTTGCTACGTCGGAGCCGCTTCGAGATGTTTTAGATCCGGTTGTCCTCCTTTAGATCTCAGCAGGGTGTGTGAAGCACGGTTTGTCGCAAAGCCTGTCCTTTGTTCAGGATGTATGCCTTGCCACTTGAATCCACCCGCTGCCATTTGATCGTTTTTGTTGGGCAGGGCGGCGTTGAAAAGATCTGTGTGTTCCAGTTCCACTTTTTTTTTCGCTCAGCTACCATGTCATGGATTTGTTTCATGCCCTGCGCGTTGGAACAGGTTTTGCTTTTTGTTGCACTCCTGGCCCGCGCCGCCATCTCGCCGCCCTTGCTTCCATGATGAGTCGTGGAAGGCACGTTTGCCATAACTAACATGTAGTCACTGTGCCATGCAGTCACGTGATGATGTTGCGCGTGAAATCTAGCTTTAGTTTGTTAGCTGAATCGCTCCATATATGTGTAGCCTCACCCACCTTTTGAACCCAATGTTAATCCAACGTTAATGGCCCAACCGTTCGTGCCACACATATATAGGTGATGTGGAGGGCGCTCTTCGTCTGGTGGTTCCAGATCACAAGGCCGGTTTGTTGTGGGAGATTGACTAATGTATTTTTTTGAGAGAGCCAAGCAAACGAATGAACGTGTTCCCAACTAGTTAGACCCTTCAATCCAAACTCCATGTCCCCTACCCCTTTTCTCGTCTTGCACAGGCTCCTTCAGCTTGGATCTATACAGCCGTGCCAAGGCCGATTGCGTGGGGTGCGATTCGTGCCTGTTGAGGGATGGTTGCTATGAGGTTGGAAGCTCTAGTAGGTTGGAGGCCATCCCTAGTAGGTTGGAGGCCATCGCCAATAGCTATTAGGTGGGAGACCATGGATCGCTAGTAGGTTGGAGGCCAATTGCTATCTCTCACGTCGCACGTCGTATTCGAAGTTGAGCGTATGGAGGTGTGCTTTGTTATCTTGTAAGGGTTTGTGATGTCCGCTGCACGCCCCGCGCAATCAGGGATCCATAGGTTGCTGACCTCATTGCAGCATTTTGCTTGAAACTCAGGTCAGGATAGGGTACCACCTAGGGCCAATGGAGGTGCCAAAATCGTTGGCGTCTTGGAAATGCTGGTGGCGCGGCACGTCGGCTGTTGAGGACATGGTGAAGTGCATGACCGAACATGTTGATCCAAGCTGCATTCCAAAAGGTTGTGTTTTTGTGGAGCTCAAGGACAACAAAAAGGTTTGCCAGTTGGATTTCGAAGACCCCCACATGTCAAAGGTCGCTGAAGCCCTTTGCAAGAGCCACCCAATTGACAAGGAACCATCTGGTTACTTTTTGGGCGATGTGGTCTTGGCTTTGGATGAAAGGCTCGCCCATTGCATCCTGGGTCCACCAAAGCCGAACCCCGCATGTGAAAGGGCCAGGAGAGATGTTGCCCTGAAAGAAGGGGTGAAGTTGAAACTTATGTTTTCCTACCTGAGGCATTCTTCAGGACGAACAGGAAAGGGCCGCAAGCCCGAAATCACGTTTTTGAAGGAGATCTTGCTGCAACAGCCTCGTCCCAAAAGGTCTCGAACTGGTGGGAGTCAAGCCAGCTGTTCAACCCCGACACCATCCCCTAGCGGTGCAATGTCTGTGTCTGAATCCTCATCCTGGACACCTGAGCAAGAGTTTCTA